GGAGGTTGCTGTGAGCTGTAATGCCATGGCACTCTACCCAGGGGGATAGCTTGAGTCTCCGTCTAAAAAAAAAAAAAAAGGCAACAGTGACTTTTGATTGGACTTCTCAGCTATCTTTGGCAGTGGCCATGACTTTGCTTTTCAGAATAACTTTAATGTTATGGCTCCATTAGTGTATGATTTCTTAGTTGAAAATAAAGTATATTTTAAAACTTTATTACCCCTAAAAAAAACCTTACATGAAGTTGTTGTAAACATCCTTCATACCAGAGTTTTTTCTTTCTTTCTTTCTTTCTTTTTTTTTTTTTTTTTTTTGACACAGAGTCTCACTATGTCACCCTTGATAGAGAGCCGCGATGTCACTGCTCATAGCAGCCTCAAACTCTTGGACTTACGTGAATTTCTTGCCTCAGCCTCCCAAGTAGCTGGGACTACAGGCGCCTGGCACAACACCCAGCTATTTTTTTGTTGCAGTTGTTTAGTTGGCCTAGACCAGGTTCAAACCTGCAACCCTCGGTGTACATGGCTGGCACTGTAACCACTGTGCCACAGGCGCCGAGCCTTACCAGAGCTTTTCAAAAATGTTGAGCAACTCCCTCTCATTCATTTAGATGCCATTTCCTGAGCCTGTGCCTGTGCCAGGTTCTGGGCTCATAGGACTGAGGCCCATGGGAGCCTGGCCTTCCCTGCTAGAGCCTGGTGTTGTGTGCAGTACACATGTGCTGAAGGGGCACACAGCACACTGTGCTGTCACACCCAGAGGAGCTGCTGCTGTTGCTTTGGGGAATTGAAAAAGGCTTCATGGAGGGAATGAGTTAGGAACCAGGCTGGACATAAATAATTAGGTTACAAAGTGAGGACATAGTGGAACAGGATCTGGGAGTTGTATGTTTTGATGTGTCTACTGCAGGCAGTGGTGGCAGTAGGTGGACTACAGAATTTGGACTTTATTCTTGTTAACAGTGGGTTATATCTAAGGTTTTTCAGCAGAAAGAACATTCCTGCTGACCAGGAAATTGCTTTAAAGTGGTGGAGACTGGAGAGAGTAGGCTAGATTAGGTAAAAATACAGAGTTGATCTGGAGCACAGATCTGGATCTCAGCAGAGAAAAGAGATTTGTGACAGACTGGGAACCACAGAAATGAGCACAGGTCCCAGGGATCAGAAAGCCAGGCAGCCCCACAGTGCCAGGGCTTGCAGCCTGTTGACTTTTCCCAAGATTTTAAGCACTGTTAGCATCTGGCATAGGGATAGAAACACACATATCCCTCAAAGATCTGGAGAATTCCTACAAGAGAGCCATACATTCCTGGAGTCTATGCTATTCGACTGTTACATCAAAATAACTGATAATATTGTCATTGGACAGTAGACAGGGACGACAGCTGTAGACTTCACATACTCAGCACTTGGAACGTGTGTTGAGGGATGTAAGAAGTTGTGACCTGTGTGGTAATTGTCCCTGTATATTACCATCAGCCTGTACTTTTCCCTGCATTCTTTCTGGAATATTAAAGCACTTCCCAGACAACTGAGCTCTTAACTACAGACCTGAGGTTGCTGACTTCAGGAGCATGCCAGTAGCCTACTGCCTTCACTAAAAGAGGCTGGGAAATAGTCAGGAACAGCCAGGCATCCTTCAGTTAGGACCACTACTTTAAAACATTGACAACTAACTTTTAACTAATTCATGACTTCTTTTTTCCTTTTGTTCCATAGGGTAGAGTGGTTTTGAAGAGAAGAAAACTGCTTTCTGACTGATTGCCTTGAAGGAAAAAAGAACCTATTTTTGTGCATCATTTACCAATCATGCCACACAGCATTTATTTTTAGTACATTTTATTTTTTCATAAAATTGCTAATGCCAAAGCTTTGTATTAAAAGAAATAAATAATAAAAAGACTGTGCTATTGAGTATTATGTGTTTTCTGGGCTGATTTGGAGATTGCCCACCCAGATTTCACTTGTGCGTGTTTCTAAGACAGAATGTGCTCGAAACTCCCCAATACAGGAACAGTGACTCTGTTTCTGTTGGTGTTTCCTCATTGACTCATAACCAAAATAGACCATGAAAGCAGACACACCCTGCATAGTAATGCCCCCACAGGCATCATATCTTCTTCAAGGTGGACGTTGACTCTGTGGTGATTTATTTCTTCCTTTGTGTGTGGTGGATCTGCCAGCCCCACAGTAGCAGACTTCACCCGATGTGTCCCACTCACCTAGCCAAGTGTTTTGTGCATAGCAAGTGCTCAGTAAATATTTGTGGAATGAAGGGATATATGTAAAAAAGATTTTCTAAAATATATACTGGTTAGTAATAAATTAGATCTGTCTGAGTTTTTTTTTTTTTGTTATTTAGTCCATACAGCAGATTCAAAAAACGTTGGGTGGGTGAAAGCAATTTTACATGTGTAAATGAAACACTTTTTGCTTGATTAATGAGGAAAGTGGTGAAATATTTTGTTACATTGAATTGTATGCTTGCAGGATTTTCAGTATTCTAAACGTTGTAAGCAGAGAATTCTTTAGTAACAGGTGAAAGATGTATGTGATCTGAAGAGAAACCAGAGTATAAGCAGAAAATTCTTTACCTTCTACATCATCCCACATAAGGGATAAGAACATATTCCTTTTGAAATGGGGTGGGGATTCACTGTAGCAGTCAAATCAGTAGAGAGTTGAATGGGGTTTTTTCATTGAAATATAATTCATATACCATAAAATTTACCCTTTTAAAGTATACATTTAAGTGGTTTTTAGTACATTAACAAGATTGTTAATTCTAGAATATTTTCATCATCCCAAAAAGAAACCTAATAGCCATTAATAATAACTACTTACCCCTGCCACTCCCCCCAAACTTGGAAATCTACTCCGTAATCTCTGTGGATTTGCCTTTTTTCAGCATTTAATGTAAATAAAATCATATAATATGAGGAGTTTGTATCTGGCTCCTTTGACTTAGCATAATGTGTTCAGGGTTCATCTACATCCTATCATTCATCTTTACTTCATTCCTTTTTGTGGCTGAATAATACTTCATAGTATGAATGCACCACATTTTTCCCATTCATTCAACTGTTGATGGACATCTGAGGTGTTCCCACCTGTTAGCTATTACGGATAATGCTGCTATCGATGTGTGTTCAGATTTTGAAATGAACATATCTTTTCACTTACCTTGAGTATTCTTGGAAATGGAATTACTGGATGATATTGTTTAACTATATGTTTAGCTTTTTCAGAAAATGCCAAAGTGTTCTCCAAAGCAGCTATACAATTTCTCATTCCCACCAAGAATATATAGGAGGGTTACAGTTTTCCCCACACTTTCCATATCACTGGTGACTATCTTTTTTGTTACAGACATCTAATTGGTGTAAAGTAGTTATCTCATTGTGTTTTTAATATGCATTACCTTAATCACTACTGGTGTTGAGCATCTTTTCATGTGGATATTTGCCGTTTGTATTTTTTGGAGAACTATTCCAGTGTTTTGCCCATTTTAAAATTAGAATATTTGTCTTTTTTTGTTGAATTGTAAAAGTTCTTTGTATATTCCAGATACTAAGCACTTATCAAACAGATGATTTGCAAATATTTTCTCCCATTCTATAAACTATTCACTTCCTCAATACTGTCATCTAAAGCAAGTTTTAAATTTTGATGGAGTCAAAGATGTATATTTTTTCATTGGTTGCTTGTGCTTTAGATGTCATATCTTTAAAAAAATTACCTAATTCACAAAAACTTGTGAGCACTGTATAGTTTAGCTCTTACAATTAGATCTTATCCATTTTGAATTTGCTATTTGTTGTATAGTTTGAGGTGGGGTCCAGCTTCATTCTTCTCATGCAGATACTTAGTTTTCCCAGCACCGTGTGCTGAAGAGACTTCTTGCCCCATTAGATGGCCTTGGCACCTTTGGTGAACACCAGGTGAGCTTAACGTGTGTGTTTATTACCAGACTCTCAGTTTTATTCCTTTGATCTCTATTTTTGTCCCAGTGCCATATGAAATTGATTACTGTTGCTTTGTAGTTAAGTTTTGAAATCCGGAACTGTGATTCCTCCAGCTTTGTTCTTTTTCAAGTTTGTTTTAATTGTTCAGTGTCACTTTTCTATATGAATTTTAGCCAGTTGGGATTTTATAGGGATTGCATTGAATCTATAGATTGTTTTTGGTAGCATTACCATCTCAACAGTATTTAGCCTTCCTATTCATAAACATGGCATGCCTTTCCATTTATTTATTTAATTTCTATAGAAATATTATTGGTTTTGGCTTGGCGCCTGTGGCTCAAGCAGCTAAGGCGCCAGCCACATACACCCAAGGTGGCGGGTTCAACTCCCCAGCCCGGCCCGCCAAACAACAATGATGGCTGCAACCAAAAAATGGCCGGGTGTTGTGGCGGGCGCCTGTGGTCCCAGCTACTTGGGAGGCTGTGGCAGGAGACTCGCTTGAGCCCAGGTGTTGGAGGTTGCTGTGAGCTGTGATGCCATGGCACTCTACCCAGGGGGATAGCTTGAGGCTCCGTCTCAAAAAAAAAAAAAAAAAAAAAGAAATATGATTGGTTTTGATACATTGCTCTTTTATCCTAAAACTTTGCTCAATATTGGTTAATGGGTTTCTTAGGATTTTCTATATGTAAGACCATGTCAATTGCAAACAGAGCTCATTTTTGTCCTTCCTTTCCAGTCTGGGTGCCTTTTTATTTCGTTATCCTGCTTAATTGTCCCTGGTTAGGATCTCAGATAGTAGATTGTTGAGTTTGGTACAAACAGACATCCATGTCTTATGATCTTGGGGGGAAAGCTTTCAGTCTGTCACCACTGATTTTACAAAGTTAGCTGTTGGAATTTTCATAGATTAGATTCCCTTTATCAAATTGAGGAAGTTACCTTCTATTCCTGGCTTGCTGGCTGGATTATTTTATTTTGTTTTATTTATCTGTTTGTTTGTTTTTTTTTTTTTTATTTTAGGGAAAGGGTCTCACTCTGTTGCCCAACTGTTGTATAGCTGTTACAGTGGCCTGATCATAGCTCACTGTAACCTCAGACTGCTGGACTCAAGTGATTCTTTCCTCCCAAGTAGCTGGAACTACAGGCACATGCCACCACACTTGGTTAATTTATTTATATTTTGTAGAAACAGGGACTCACTGTGTTGCCCAGGCTGGTCCCAAACTCCTAATCTCAAATCATCCTCCTGCCTTAGCTCCCAGAGTGCTAGGATAACAGTTGTGAACCACTGTGCCTGGCCTTGTTTTTATCATGAGTTTGGATTTTGTCAAATGCTTTTTCTGTGTTTATTGAGATGATCTGTAGGTTTTACCCTTTGTCAATTGTGGTTTTAGTCTATTAATATAGTATATTACATTGGTTTCTAACATTGAAACAATATTGGGATAAATTTCACTTGGTATAGCGTGTAATATTCAGTTTGCTGGTATTTTACTGTGGATTTTTGCATTTATATTCATAAGGGATGTTGGTCTGTAATTTTCTTGTGATGTCCTTATAATGCTGGCCTCATACACATATAATGAATTATGAAGTGTTCTTTCCTCTTCTGTTTTTTTAGAAGAATTTAAGAAGAATCAGTGTTGATTTTTCTATAGACGTTGGGAAGCTATCTGGTCCTGGGCTTTTCTTCGTGGGAAGTATTTTGGTCTAGTTGGTAGTTGTGTCTTTAGGAATTTATTCATTTTATCTGGGTTATCTAATTTGTTGGCATATAGTTGTTCATAGAACCCTTACATTTCATTTATTTCTGTAATGTATGTAGTAATGTTCCTTTTTTTATTCCTATCTTTAGTAATTTGTTTTTTCTTTGTCATTCTAGTTAAAGATTATTCAATTTCATCGATTCTTTTTTCAATGAACCAGCTTTTGGTTCCATTGATTTTTTTCCCCCCTTTTCTAGTTTCTTATTTCATTCGTTTTTACTCAGATCTTTATTTTCTTTCTCTTGTTTTAAGATTAGTTTTCAATCAACTTTTTCTCTATTTGGATGTTTTCGTATTTTTTACAGGGCATAAAACTTTTTTCTTTAAATTTCAGATTAATATAAGGGTACAAATGATTGGGTTACAATGTTTGTATTTGTTAGGTAAAAGTCCTTGTGGGGGGTTTTGTTTATTTTATTTTTGTTTTTTGTTTATTTGGGGGGTGTTTATTTTGTTTTTTGTTTTGTTGAGACAGGGTCTTGCTCTGTTGCCTGGGTTGGAAAGCAGTGATGCAATCATAGCTCACTGAAATCCTCCTCCTTTAGCCTCCTGAATAGGTGGGATATAGCTCGTGCTGCCATGCCTGGCTAATTTTTTTTAACTTTTTACAAAGATAGGATCTCACTATATTGGCCAACCTGGTTTTAAACCTCTGGACTTCAAAGTGCTAGGATTATAGACGTAAGACCATGTAATCCATGAAGCATAGGTTGTTTTTTTTGTATCCATGAAGCATAGATATGAGGCACCCAGCCTTCTTTCTTCTTTGTTAATATTGGTATTTATATTTCTAAATTTCTATTTAAGTTTTATTTCATCCATTCATAAATTTTGATATTCTATGGGGTTTTGTAGGTTGGTTGGTTGGTTTTTAGAGACAGGGTCTCTCTCTGTGTCATGTAGGCTAGAGTGCAGTGATGCAATCATAGCTCAAACCCCTGGGCTCAAGCAATCTTCTCACCTCAGCTTCCCAAGTAGCTAGGACTATAGGCATGTGCGACACCATGCCCAGCTATTTCTCTTTTCATCTTTTGTAGAGATGGGATGTCACTATATTGCTCAAGCTGGTCATGAACTTCTGGCCTCAAGCAATCCTCCCTCCTTGGCCTCCTAAAGCACTGAGGTTATAGGTGTGAGCCACTGTGGCTGGTCTCTGTTGGTGACTTCT